TATTCCCTAAAAACTTTGAAACCGATAAATAAGCTTAATAGTCACAGAATAAGTACACAAAATTTAATTGTAGTTCTACATATTAATATAAAATCAATATACAGAAATACACCAAAAACACAACAGCATTCACAACTGCTTAAAAAAAGAAGTCCGGGCCAGGCTGTGGCTCAGTGGGAAAGGGCTGCCTGCTGCGCAAGACGCCCCATCTGATCCCCAGTGTTGCAATCCATCAATAACAAAGAAACGGAAATGTAACAAAACATAAACAGGACTTATACGATGAAAGCTGCAAAGTGATCAGTTTGTGTTCATGGACTAAAAAGATCAACTTAGCAAAGATGTCAATTCTCCCCCAACTTGTTATGTAAGCTCAACACAATTCCTGTCAAAATCCAACCAGATTTTTTGTATACGTAGAAAAGATTGTTCTAAAACTTATAAATAGGCATAACTAGAATAGCTAAAATGGTTATGAGAAAGAATAAAGTCTATTAGTTTTGAAGATTCTGTATAGTTATGCTACTCAAGATTGGATATTGGTAAAGGGACAGACACACAGATCAATGGAACGGAATACAGAAGCCAGTAACAGCCCCACACAAACATGCCCAACAGACATTGGACAAAGGTGCACAAGCAATTCACTGCAGGAGACTCTTCAACAAAGGGCAGCGGAGGAAGTAGACATGCATCAGCCAAAAAAACAAACTCAACCCAAGTCTCAAATCTTATTCAAAAATTAACTCAACATGGATCACAGACTTAAATGTAATACACAAAAATAAAAACCTTCTAGGAAAAAAAAAAAACAGAAAGAGAAAAATCTTCAGACTCTCGGACTAGCAAAGAATTCTAGACACCAAAAGCCTAGGCATAAAGGAGAGAATTAACAAAGTCTCCTCAAAGTTAAAAACTTATTAAGAGGCTGAAAAGACAAGTTACAAACTGGGAGAAAAAGACTTGAAACCACATATCCAACAAAGGACTGGTATCTAGACTTTATCAAGAATTCATAAACTTCAGTAGTTAAAAAAAAACTAAACAATGTAATGAGAAAACCAGCAAAAGATATTTCTCCAAAAGGATATACAGACAGCAAATAAACCTATAAAAAGATCAATATCACTGGCCCACAGGAAAACAAATTAAAACCACAATGAAGTAACACTACACACCTATCAGACTAAAATTAAAAATTCTAGCACCATCAAATGCTGGCGAGACTGCTGAGAAAATGGATGGCTCAAACAGTGTTCACGAGAACTGTCATGCTAGAAAACAGCATCTTAAGAATCTAAACATGCAACTATCATACAAACCAGCAATTATGCTCTTGGGTACCTGTCCCAGAGAAATGAAAACCTACATTCACCCAAAACCCCTACATAAAGTTCGTGGGTGCTTTATTCACAATAGCCCCAAACAGTAAATGATGCCAAAGTCCTTCAACAAGGGTGGCTTAGAGAAACTGTGGTACGACCACATGCTGGAGTACCACTCAGGAACAAAAAGTAACAAGCATGGCAAAAGGGTCCCCAACTCGCCATGGTTTGACTCAGAATTTTTCAATGTGCAAAAGTGATACATATTCAGTAGACCCACACTTAGAATGCTGAATCTTGACCGTTCCCAGGCCAGTAATACTGTTTGCTATTCTCTCACAAAGCTGGTGGAGCAGCCAGTGAGCCACAGCTCACTGTGAGCCAGGTAATCCCAAGGAGAAACAATGGGCATGCAGCGTTTTGTGTTGCTAAACTAGGATGTCTGAGGGGGGTTAGGCGTATCCAAGGCATTCTCAGTTTCCATGGTATTTTCAATGGGTTTATTGGGAACACAGCCCCATCACGGGTCGAGGAGCATCTATATTCAATCTGGATGAAGCACCAGAGAATCACGCTGAATGAAAAAAGCCAATCTCAACTACTTAAGTACTATATAGTTTCATTCATATAACATTCCCAAAATGACAAAATTATAGAAATGCAAACAGGGGTTGAGGTGGGTGGGGTGGCAGCAGGATTCTTCCAATGGGAGTGAAATCGTTGTTAACTTGTTTGCATTGATGTCAACACCCTGACTGTGATACTACTCTGTGAGTTGTTACCATTGGGGGAAAGGGGGAATGGTACACAGGACCTCTCTGTTATTTCCTACACGAACCTACAATTATCTGAAAATAAAAAGGAAAGAATGAAGAAAGATCCCTGCTGCCAATGAAGTGGTACTCTCTTCCCCAGGCCCAGTTAACTTGAGGTGAAAGGCAACACTTCTGAAAGGTGTTGGGGCTGCTGCTCCTGCCAGGGCCACAGGCCACCTCCTCATACCTTCAGAACCTCATGCTGGCAGCAAGGGCAGCTCAGGAAGCTACTGAGAATGATTCTCTAGGAGAAGTTTGCAGACCAGGACCCATACCCCAGAAGGTCTCAGAGGAGCCAAACACTGCAGACACAAGAGTCCAATTGCAGAGGGAAGTTGGTGGGGAAGGGTCCTGCTTGAGAAAGGGCAGGCTGGGTGGGGTGTGAGGCTATTACAAGCCTGGGGTAGTTCTATTTCTCAGTTCACCAATGAGTTACCAAGAACACGGAGGTCAAGGGGAAAAGTCAAAGTTTTAAATCCATGGAACACAGCAAACAACAGAGAACAGAAGGGACTCAAAAGTCTCTGATACTAGAAGTCAACAGTTCAACTTCTAAATTTTGTAAGAAACCGTAACGCTCTAAAATGCCAGTCTCACAAAAGGAACTGTTTCCATAGGTGGATTTTTTTCCCTCAAACTCTTTATAATCAGGCAATGGTTATGTAACTGGCAAACTGAAGAGACAGAGTGGCGACCATGTTCTATTTTCTTTCTTCAGCCCCAGCTCCCACCACCACCCATGATTACTCAATGCCACACCTGGTGACAGCAAGTGAAGGCCACCTGAGTTTCCACTACAATAGGAGGTGCAACACCATGCAGGCCAGAGCCTGGGTCCAGGTGAGAACCATCAGGCTGAGTCTGCAGAAAGTAGGAAATGGTGCAGGCGGTCTGGACCACAACTGCAATGACAGACAGGGAAATAAGTGTCCGGAGGAAGCATAACATGGAACATTTCTATGTCGCCAGCCCTGTGGGGATTGGCTGCATAGTCAGCTGACGCCCCCTGCATATAAACCATCTTGGAGAAGCTGGGTGGATGTCTGGTAGGCATAACTGGAGAAAGGAAAGAGAATAGGAGTACAGGTTTTCTTAATGTACACCTGGCCTTAGAGTTAAAAGTATATCCTGCATAAGTCATTACTTAGGATTCCAGAAGACACAGGTGACACACACATTTTATTTGTCCCAGCAAAATATACAAGTGATGGCAAAGCAACCATATACAACAAGAGATATTCATTGCCCTCCCTCAGGGAGAGAAACCTCCCCATTTAACCCTACCTTGGCCGAAAAGGTTAACACAGAACCAAAGCTGGGGGAATACAGGAAAAAGGGAAATTCCAACCTCTCCAACTATGCGTTTTTGTGTTGCTGGAGAAGACAGACATATCTGAGGGTAGTTCCAAACGGAAAACACTACAAAGGCAATGTGCAAACACTCCTGGCCCAGGCGAGAGTCCACTGCCCACACTACCTATCAGCAAGCACAGCAACAGGGTGTGGGACAAACACAACTGAATAAATGGCTTTTCCTTTTTTCCCTTTTACTGCATTCTTTTAGGATGAAAAATAAAAATACTACCCTTTTGATGAAATGGTAACAAGGTTAGGGGGTATTCAGATGGACAGACCCCAAGTACTGTCACTAGGACACATGCCAAGAACACACAACAATGGCTGCTGTCCTGAGCTAACTGCTGTCTTCTTCCTGGAACATCTGCTGTCAGAGCCAATGATACAATAAACACTGAAACCTGCAAGAATATGGCCAAAACTCTTCCATCACTTCCACTACCACTAAACTTAAAATCCAGAGAGGAAAAAAAAAACAAACAAACCCTGAGGTATTCTTTATCTTTTGTTCCCCAAACTCAAAATCCTACAAATAACTTAAATCAGTAGTTGCTTTTGAGGACTAATCACCTAGACAGTACCAGACCTGACCACAGCACAGACTACCTAATTAAAACACTGTGGGGGGTGGGGGGAGATCATTTTAACACTGGATCTTCATAAAGAGAAGTCTGAGAGGCAATGTATGTGAGCCCCCACTAGTGCCCCTTCCTCTCTCAACTACACGTTTTCTGATTCAAACAACATTTCATATGGTCTCTTTAGCTGGAAATTCTTTCATTTAGCACGTCTAGTTACTTCCAAATAATAGGTATACTTGTCAAACATGTTATCTATTAGCCCAAAGTTGCCTCATGGAGAGAAGTAAATGACAGAGATAAAAGACTGATTCCCATTGTGAAATGTATTTCACCAACACATCACCTGCACTTCACTATGAAAAGCTGCAAACACAGCTTTGTATATAATATGTTTGCCATTTGTAGCTTTAAATTCAGTGTACTTAAGAACATTACTGAATAGCTTCTGAATCATCATCTTAAGCAGACACACCATAAAACTGGGCACCCATAAGATGTGTTTATAAAAAGTCATTTCATACAACAATAATTTTTAAAATTCCAAAGCCAGCACTAATAACCCAAGAACTGTAACATTGTAACTGACTTGAACACTTAATACAATGAGATGACACTCTGATTTTATAACTAAGTCACACACTTCCAACATATATTCCAATGACTGAACATTACCTAAAGCTGAAGAACTATAACCCAACCAAATGTGTATACATTTTATATGTGACTAAAAGAATTATCTTTATGTTTCAACATTACTTCTCTTCTATGAAAGCAATCCTTTCTTTTCTCCCATGCTTGCTTACTTAAATACATGCACATACCCTCCACGTAACTATACTGCCACCCCAAAATCAAGGCATCTTATCCAGCACTCATGGCTACAGACTCATCACCGAAACACCGAAATTTAAATGATACTCTACTTGTCCACTCGTATCTGCAGCCTGCTGGAAATGTGTAGCCAGCGATGTCTCATCCTGGAAGACTTCGTTACACTCCAAACATTTAAGACTGTGTCTACAGAGTTTGGAGGGGTCTTCATCTAGGGGCATAGCTGGGGTGATGGGTGTGCTTGAAGGAGCGGATATGACCGTCCCAGTTATGCCAGATTGGATCTTTGTTACAGTGTGTGTGCTGGCTCCCACAGAGCTCTGCAGAGTGGAAGATGAACTGGAAGTATTGCTAGTCGGAGAAACTATCATTTGATCTGCTGGGACTGGCTTTAGAATTAAGTGGGAGCATTGCATTACCACTCCTTTTTCCTTATGCCCACGAGCATGGGAAAGGAGGCTGCATTTGTTGTAAAAAACGAGGTTCTTTGTACAATGGTTGCACGTTACTTCGATGCGCACACTACGCCTGTCGTAGTGCTGGGTCAGGCTCTTTTCCAGCGCAAAGGAGTCCCCACACTCCAAACACTTGTACCCACGCGTCGGTAACGTGATCCCTGCATTGGCGGGAGGACTGAGGTTTGGGATGTAAACTGGGACTGGATTGACACTGCTCAGCACCTTGTTGAAAGCTTCCACCACGGAACTCTGCAAGGACGACACCACCTGGACTCGAGACACCTTTTTGGGTGGTTGTGAGGCCGCTGCATTGATTATTGCCTGCTTTATTTGTTGCTGAGGTTTGGTTAGCACTTGGCGGAGTTCAGAAGTGGCCTGGGCACCCTGAGGCAGAAGGTTAAGGTTGGCAAGGTGCACAGTCTTTGGCACGAGTTTGGCATTGGCCAGGCTGGATGCCGGCACTACAACAGTTTGCTGCTGGATGGCGTTGGCGGCTTTAATTATGGCGCTGCTTGCACTCTGAACAGAGGCAGCAGATATGACTGTGGCTTTCACCGTCGTGTTGTTAGCGAGCTTCAAATTGATGACCTGGGACCCTGCTGTCTTGACAGCAGACACAGGGAGGAAAGCAGTGGCCACAGGCTTGATGGTGACCTGTTTGGGAGTCAGTTCTGCAGGGGAAACTGCATTAGTAACCATGGCTGACTGGAGAGGTGCCCTGGGAGGAGAGGAGAGGACAGCAGCAGATGCTGGAGATGACAGAAGGGATGTCACAGAGGCCATCACAGACGCTGCCTGCTCAGAAGGCTTCTTCCCAGAGTCAAGATCCACTTCCGGCAGTACTCTTGTCACGGTTCTCTTGATCTCCCCAGAAGATGTCTTGATGGTCTTGATTCGGACTTTCGGGATTGCTGGTGTGGATCCCGCAGGAGAGGATGGGGATCCTTTGCTGCTGTTCTCACTCGAGACACTCCTGGGACTATCTGGTGGCTTTAAGGAGGCTTTTTTGGGACCATCGATGAGGCTCTGGGCCTCAGGAGACTTGTCAGCAGCCCTCGGACTGTCGTTTGCTTCCTTTGGTAAGGGAGAGGCTTCTCTGGAATTGGCCACGGGCTCTTTGCAGGAATCTGAAGCTGCCTTTTTAGCACTCAGGGCTGCAATGGCAGCTATGCAGGAGGAGAGCTTGGAGGACGACTTTGACTTGGATGGTGTGACCCCAGCAAGGCTGGTGTCATTCTTCTCAGAGCTCAGCTTCCCATCAAGGACCCTGTTTTCAAGCACCTTTTCAGAGTTCTCCTTCAACTTATCCTCTGCTTTTCTGACTTTAAAAGGTTCATAAACACTCAGATTTATGGAATTTGTTTCTGTTTCTCTCTTCACTTTGTTTTTATCTACACTGCCTGATGTAGAGATTCCAGTTTTGCTTGAGTTTTCCCCTCCAAGTGCCTTTAGTTTATCATAGTCCTGCTGGGAAACCGACCCTGTTAACACATTTGATCTGAAACTTGAGCGGACGTCCTCCTTATCAGGGGGGTCGTCCACCTCTATCTTCTCATCATCATCAAACTCTTCAGCACTAGAGATGGGGCTGAACTGGCTGAATGCTGAGTCTTTTAGCGTCACCTCTGAGGTAGGCGCATCTCCTTTCAAGGACTTTGCTCCATCTTTACTGTAGCTGTCCAGAGAGGACGCCGTGAGAAACCCATTATGCAAGCCATTGCCTGTGGGATTGTGGCCATCTTTTTCCACACCCTCAGAGGAATCGATGTTCCGGACGTTCTTCACAATCACACTGACGCCGACGTCTGAGGATGATGGGGTATGAGAGTCGTCATCCCCGTGAGCATTCTGCTTGATGTGGCTCTCGTGGTCATCGTGTCCAGACTCAATAGCTGCTTTGGGGTCGACCATATCTGGGATGTCAAATGCTGCCAAGAGGTCATCAAAGTCTGGGGTCTTCATATCCCCCATGGTCATGAATTTGATCAGATGTTCTGTGAAAGGAACAGAAAAGAATTCCATGAGCAATTAACATTTGTAATGATGAGGTGACTCTTACTGGAGAGTTTACACAAGCATAGTGACGATAACCAAGAAAGTAGGTAGTACAGCCACAGAAACCGGAGTCAAACTGACATCCAGAGAGTATGTGCAGAACCGTACGATTAGACCGTCAGAAGTAACCTCTCCAAATGCTGTACACCGTCACCAGCATGGTTCCTATCTAACACTGAACTTGATCCAAGCCATGTAACCCTAAAAAAGCAGCTTTTAGTGTAGCAATTAGAAAAGCTGTCTTTTATCATAAAAGGCTACTTCTCCAAATTTTTTTTTTTTTTTGGCAGTAATGGGGTTTAAACTCAGGGACTTGTACTTGCTAGGCAAGCATTTTACCACTTGAGCTAGGCCCCAGCCCTTTTTCACTTTTTTATTATTTTTCATACAGGGTCTCATTATAGTCTGGGGCAGCCTTGGACCATGATCCACCTAACTTATGCCTCCCAGGTACCTGGAATTATAGGCATGCCTCACCATGTCCAACTTCCAGACATATTTTGATCTTGACAGCATTTAATTCCATTAACAAAATTATCACTACTATAGTCCCAATCCTATTTGAGACACATTAGAAAAAATAGATTACAATAAAGAAATTAAAGATTTCAATATTTGTCCACAAATCAAAGAACCAGGCATCTAAACCTACCACAGGATATCCCTACTAAGTTCTCTTGGGATATACTTTTTTAAATCCCTAAGGAGATGATTCCATCCATTTTTATTTAAACTTAATTTTTCCTTTTATGTTAAAAAAAGAATCACTCCAAAAGTGAAGAATGAATTTTAGTTTAGGAAAGTGAAGAGTCCCAGCCATTACCAAAGATGAAGGGCATGTAAATACATGCAGTGCCTGGGGTCTTTAAAGGTGGCCACACCACACATTCAGAGGATAAGTCACAGTGGAGGTGAGACCATCCTCCTCCCGGGTCCCCACATGCTCTATCTCAGGGTTCTGTTATTTTCTGGCATGTCCTCCAGTAAGTGTGTATTTGTCTTGTGTTACCTACTAGCCTGTACACTGCATGAGGACAATAAATGCCAAACAATTAACAGGCTACAAGTCAGAGGCCAGAGCTGAATTTGTAACAGAAGAACAGGCCTGGGCCCAGCTCTGTCACTCATTAGTGCTGAAGTAATGGAACCTCTTTGGACTTGGTCTTTCCTTCTGCAGTGGAGGCAAGCAGGCAGGAAGCAAAGGAAAGAGGGAAGAAAAGAGAATGAAAAATAGGAAAGGGAGGGAAGGGGAACGGAGCAAAGAGAGAAGACTCAAGCGAGCAACAATCCAAGTGGGAAGGGAAAAAGACTGCAGTTTGATTTAGGTGACTTCCACAAGGAGAGTCAGCCTAGCTAATTGGTAGGCTGTATGTTCCTGAACTCTTCTGATTGATAAGTTATATGTTCCTGGACTCTTTGCTCTTCAGTATTTGCTATGTCTCCTTTACATCTGCTTTAATGGTCCCTGAGAAGTTGTCTTCCACATTTTACTGAGGCATATAAATCTGTAAAGGATCACATATTCCTGATGAAAGTAGAATTTCTACAGGGAGACTATACAACCCCATTGAACCAATTCAGTCATAATACATACATACATGGAAATGTCACAAAGAGACACCCCGTAGAGCTACCTTAAACAAACAAAACTTTTAACTAAAACAGAACAGGAAGGTAAAACAGGTCCTGTCTGGGGTGGGGAGGCCAGGTACCAACAGGAGGGTAATTGTGTAGATATAAGGAAATGGTGTAGAAGGGTGAATATCGTGGAAGTATTATGTACATGTGTATGAAAATGGAAAAATGAGACCTGTTGAAATGACTCTAGGAATGGGGGAGGGAGGATAAAGGAGAATGATGGAGAGTGTGAATTCAACTATGATATATTGTAAGAACTTTTGTGAATGCAACAATAAAAAAAAATCAAAAAAAAAAGAAAGAAAAGAACATACATACATCCCCATGAAAACTCATATAAAATGCACCAATGACTGGTAAGACCCTCAGCATATTAACTCACTCTGGGGACGCATCCAAACAATTTTAAGACTTCTGCTGGGAAAATTTACTGTTGAGGATGAAATAAGCACTCCAGTTCAGTAAGAGCTGAAATATAAATCAGCTTCCACTCACATGTGTTTCAGTTATATGCAGAGCTGGAGAAGTCTCATGTACTTTTCTCCCAGTGGTTTGCTTAGCTTGGAGAAAAACCATGGTCAGTGTTCTCTGCCTGAGGGACCAGACAGGTCCCTCCACTATTCAAATTACCTCCAACATAAAAGACACACAAAAATAAAAACAAACATTTCTAAAGTGATACTAGTGTGAAAATATCCATTAAAAAAAAAATCATACCCAGGAGGAAAGTTTGTGATGTTGATTGTCTTTTCAAAATGAAATTAAACATTTAACTGTAAAATGGAGGCAATGAAAAATGCATCTGTCAAATACCATACCCACGTTAAGAACCCACCTACTTAAACTCTAGAGCTCGGTAAACTAGCTCCCAATATCAGGAGGCTAAGGCAAGACAATCAAGAGTTTGAGGACAGCCTGGGCTACAAAGCAAGACCCTATCTCAAAAAAAACCGAAAACAATCAAACTGAATGTCACCACTTTTATAAGCGTAACATTGCTGTTGTGAATTGCATATCCAAAATAAAGCTGTATTAGCAAAAAAGCATCCCTTGGGTCTATCTTCGCCAACGAGGTGGTTCTAGGTCATAGATCATCATTTTTGGAAAACTCAAGATGCAGAATCATGAACCACTTCCTTCTCCCATACTGAAGTTGAAAGGGCCTGAAAGATGGATCCTCAGTGCCACCACTTACCCAAAGCTGAGACCCAGGCCCCATTAGTCCACAGTGGTACCTGGGCTCTGCCCAAGTCCCTCTATCCAGGTTCTGTGACACTTGTCCTCTATTATTTGGCAAGCAAAAGACTTCATACAGTTTCACACTGTTCATCCCAGATTACAGTCAGTTCAAGAACAAAAAGATGGCAAGAGAGAATTCAAATACTTACTGGGCAGTAGGCCCAGGACATACAACCACAAGAAATGATAAAAGGTTGCCACGTGAAACAAAACCTGAGTGACTGGCAGCTCAGATCAGCAGTGCAGCTGGCAGGCATTCTTATGAATACTTGCAAGATTAAAAGACAACTCATTACCTTCTTCTCCTGCTCTACCTATAGGGACATTCCTGATGCACACACATGCCCACAGCAGCAGGACTCTGTCATTTAGTCAGGGTGAGTGTGCTGTCCCCCTACAACTCATATCCTTTTCTATCTGCCCAGCTCACACAGCAAGAAGGTCTGGGAAGCCCCACAGAGGAAACTTCCAGGACTCTCTTTCTACACAGGACTGGGCCTTGTCCTGGTCCCCATTCCTCCACTCCACCTAAGGATTACTCTCTTCTCTTGGGGGAGAAGGTGAGCCCAGGGTGAACAGTGGGACATTCTGTAGGTACAAAAGTGAATTATCAGTGATTTAAAAAGTATGGGCCAGGTCAGGTACAGTGATGAATACCTGTAATTCCAGCACTCAGGAGGGTAAAGTAAGAGGATCCAGAGTTGGATGCCATCCTGGGCTATATGGCAAGATCCTGTCTCAAAAAGAGCCAAAGAAAACCTTGAAGGAAGTCCGACTATAAGCTGAAAAGGCACAGTGAACATTTTTCAAAGCCCAAGCACAATGGAAGGCACATGATAGCATCTGAAACCTGAGATCGCCATGGCAGGTGGACTGACCTCTCTTGGTTGTATAATGTATGTAATAAATACCACTCTCTCTAACCTCACACTTCTTTTTTGGTTTGCAGAAATATTTCTCATACCCATAATCACACTGTCCGATTACCCTTTCCCTTCCCACATTCTGGAAGGCAAGGGCAAATGTTCCAGTTGAAGGAAAAAAAAAAAAAGTTTCACTCCATCTCATTTCTTAGTTATACTGAATACAAAGAGAACATTATATCTGAAAATTTTCTATCCCAATTCCTAAGTGTTCCTGTCTTTAAAATATTCATTTGTTAAAATCATTGCAAAGAGGGGGGCCGGGAGCTCACTCCTACAATCCTAGCTACTCAGGAGGCAGAGATCTGGAGGATCTTGGTTCAGAGCCAGCCTGAGCAAATAGCTTATAAGATCCTATCTTGAAAAAACCATCACAACAAAGGGCTGGTGGAGTAGCTCAAGGTGTAGGCCCTGAGTTCAAACTCTGGTAATACAAAAAAATGTAAAGGTAAACTCAGTCTTCTTGTAAAAGATAATATAGAGCAATCTCATTTTTGCTTCCCTTGTCCTTGACAGTTTGATTTTCAAACAGAATTAGAGTTACTTACAATAATGTCAATGTCTTCATTTCATTTGTACCCTATAAAATATATATCTTCCTTCAAGGGCACCAATGGTCACTAATTTAAATTGAACCCTGTATAAATAGCTGCAATTTACTAATAGGATTTGTGCTTAATATATAATGTTGTTTCACCCAAAGACACTGGAAAATGAAAGGCCTGTTTACAAAAGAGGCAATCAGAAGAACCAAAGTCTGTCACATGTTCACTTCATTCCCTCCTATGACACAAATAAAACACTCCCTTTCCTACCAAAACCTTTTTAAATTATAGAAAGATAATTCATCTTTGTTGGTAGAAGACAAAAGTTATCAAGTCATGCCAGGTGCCAGCGGCTCATGCCTATAATCCTAGCTACTTGGGAGGCTGAAATCAGGAGGATCGTGGTTAGAAGCCAGCCCAGGCAAATAGTTCATAAGACCCCACCTCCAAAATAACCAGAGCAAAAAGGACTGGAGGCGTGGCTCAAGCAATAGAGCACCTGCTTTGTAAGCGTGAAGCCCGGAGTTCAAACTCCAGTCCTACCAAAAGCAAAGCTGGGGGAAGAGGGGGGGAGTCCTCAGGATAACTTATCTA